TTCCAACATGCGCCTTCATTCTCCTAAAGGTGTATCTCTTATATCGAGAATTACCCATGAGGAGATTAGATTCATTAAAAGTTTGAGTTTTCTGCATTGTTTAGACGATTCTTCCATTGTAGAGATGGCTCTTTGTCTCGACCCGTCTCATCACTTCAGATGACCTTTTACCTGTAGTTATTGGTCCTTTCGGAGAAGTCTCTGTCACTGACTGCGTAGTAGCAATTTTTGGTGTAGATGCCGATAGGTCCGGGATTTTTGACGACGATGCTAGCACAAAGGGTGTTGTTGACTTTTTGGTTGTCGGTGTTAAAGTCGTGTAATTACTATAATGCTAACATTATCATCAAATAACACGTGGAATGCAAAAATGTTGCTCTCTAGCCAGGATGTTGCTTCTTAGTGATGTCTATCTTACAGTATTTTTTCTTACCAAACACTCACGTATTCAATACGATTTGTACCACGCTTTGCAAATCTTCTTCAGTAAATGTGTAAGGGATGCTGATAGCCACTCCTCGCGGAGGAACAACTGCATCATCCAGGGAAGCGCCTAAATTGTATTAGTGCTTACTTTTTCTATGCTATGTGGTAATTCTACCGTCATATCCAATCCCAACAATTCTGTCGATTGATGACAAGTGGTGACTGGGGTCAAGTTTTGGTAAACCGACTGTGTCTTTCCTAAATTTATTTAATGTTATGCTGAGCGAAGTGGAAAAGTTGCGCAAATGGCAGATTGGTAGAAGCAAGGAATATGATGTAGGTTGAGTGGCATTGATACGCAAACTAGAGCAGATCAGTTCTGTTTTTATAGTTTATAAAGCACACCTTTTTAAAGTGTCGTTGTTTACACTAGAAAAATTTCTTGTTGAAATGTTCGGCAAGAAACTCCACGACAAGGTAATTTCGATGGTGAACAGTTGAGGCGGTTGTTTGAAGCAAACAAACAACACGACAATCAATAGAAGTTTGTTTTTTGTTGACACTGTTGAACATCATTTCA